TTTTATTATAACACAGTATTTATTGTGCGTATGAGGAGTTCACAGGTTTTGACAACAGTTTAATCCTACACTGTGTAGTTGCAAGTACACGTAGGAGTTGTATGTTAAAAAAGGGAGTACTTTTTCAATGAGCTGCACTGTACTACTACGCATTTTCTGATAACAAACATGATTATTTACTGTGTATACAAAAAGCTCAAAGGTGTTGTTCTCACTTTAATTCTGTACTGTGTAGTTGCAGGTTAAAACATAGTGAGTACTTTTTCGATGAACTGCACCTTAAATTTTATGTTTTCATTATTTTTATTGTTTGTAAACCCTCGATTTTTTGGACATGTTTTACTTTTTGGATTTGTAAACATAAACTTGATTTTTTATTTTTTTTTTTGAAATGATTCTGTATTTTTATATTAAGCATAATATTTGATAACTTTGGCCAAATTTGCCAACTTGTATTATTTTTATCCATATTTTACCCTACCTAGGCTACCGTTGTGAAGAAGATTGAACGTAAACTTTCTCATACAGATTTACTGTATTTAGTTTCACGTATTACGCAACTGCAGCGTTTAATACAATGTAATATTAATGTCCCTTTAATTAAAATGCCACATGCCACTAAACACAATTACGAGTTCATATGGTCGTGTTTGGAGCTTATAAAAGGTGGCACGGAATGTTGAAGTGGAAGTCTGTCAGTGATTACGTTTGGCTGGACATCCTCATTGCGAAAATAATGAGTCATTATGGAAGTCATCAGATCCGCAGATGTCGCCTAGCTGCTCTGTAAGCGACAAGACCTCTGCCGGCTCAACACTACATTAACGCCCCATATGCAGCGCCCTGATAGCCTGCTACAGTCAAAAACACAGCCACCAGGAGCAATTTAGAAGTCATTTTGGGGTTAAAGAAAATACGGCCCGTGAAAGTTACGCAAGCACTACTATCGTTAATTTGAAATAGCCTAATTAAAATCTTAATATCATAAGAGTAACACTTTGGATAACGTACCACATGAGAAGCAATCAACAATATGTAAATGCAATTATTGTTTTCATTAATAAATAATAAAACAGAACAGATATGGGCCTATTCTCTGTTTTGTAATATGTGTGGCCTATTTTGTCAACAGATTTCGACATCAGAGCAAGTTTTAAATCTAAACGTATTTATTTCTGTATTTTTGTAAAGTGTGTTGTTTGTTTTAGTTTGATATTTTTGTGATCCTAAAGTGTTTGGTGATGTCTTTTCCAAAATAGCGTGCACTTTTAACTGATGATGGTGCTGGTTCGTTCCATTCTCATCTCCACCGCTTTAAAACACTTATAATTAAATTTACGCGTGAATTTGTTAGTTTTTGTTGTGGTCTCTCTGGGAGGCAGTAAAGGTGTGCAGCAGTCTCACCATGTCGCAAAGAGCTAATTGGAGTGGCCTCATTTAGCGACACGTCAAAGGGGACGCGACAACACGGTGTCAGCGCCTCCACAAATCTCCCCCTCTCCCCTCTATTCCTCCCCCCCCATCCCTCTCCCCCCTAGTGCTCTCTCCACTTAATAGCGTGTCACACACCATACGACTGATGCGACGTAGGTCACCGTGAGCCTATGTTTCACTATAACGAAGGCGCATCCGAGGCCAGCGAGGGGACAAACACGAGACGGATGTCCCAATCAGCCATGCGCTTAAATAGAAAGAGAGTCAGTCAAAAGCCAAAGGAGACCACGACAGAAAGAGAAAACATGACTTTTACAGTTGGGGAAATATATATGAAATTGATTTTAAAATATTTAATTTGGGGATACATTTGTTAGCACGCATAGTAAAACGACAAAACAGAAATCATTGTATTAATCTGTAATTTAAACAAATAAACTTCCATTACAATTAAAGTCAGTGTGTTTGGATTTTTTGTTTGTTTGTTCTACTTATTAAAAATGTTTGCAAATATTCCCAATCTGATATGCCCAGCTCAGTTACTGCTCCTGGTCAGGCCACTTGCTTTGAAGAGATTATTAATAAATGTGCGTAAAAATCAATATGTGATTGGTGGCTATGCAAATCCTCGGTGTCAGATGGATGGCTCCCATTACAGTCACAAGCTGCCAATAGAAAGCTGTCATGGAGGCATATCCAGCACAAATGGCTTTCTATCGCAGAGGGTTTTTTCCCCCCTAGAAATGTCTACACGGCAATAAACTTGACTCGAATTTGACCTTTTTTTTCTGTACGGCTCTTTACGCGCAGCAGATGGACACCGTAGGATGCCATTGTGCAAGAGATTTTATAACTTGCAACTTTGGGGCGTAGCTTTTAAGTTTTATACAACTCCCAAAAACTATTACCACTAAGAAAATACACTAAGTTGTGTGTTTCTTGAAATGTAACGGTTAAAACAGACCGAGAACTTGACGATAGTTCTCACAACAGCTGGGCATCACATCAGACTCTTGGCATTGTGCGCCTAATCCATCACGGGCCACTGTGCTCTTCACCATTTTCCACGTGGCTGTGTGTGTGTGTTCACTAAAACTAAAATGTCGTCGCGTTTATTTGGACATCTTACATCCAAAACCCAATCAGTTTGCCGATGTGGGAATAAGACGTCGCCTAGAAGTCATTAAGGGAACCGTGGAACGTGCGGCCAAAACACGCCTAGCATCTGTTTTAAACCATTTCATCATAGGGACATATAGAGGCAAGCTGCCATCTCCTGTGTTCGGCCTGATGTGTGATGTACGCCGCTGTCTACCTTGGTAACACAGTCGTAGGGCTCGCTTTACTGGCCACAAGTGCTGCTGATAAATATTCATGACTGCAGCGCCTGCGCCCCACACGTCTCTCCCAGTGTTTGTCATTTCCAGACTTGAGCGTAAATACATGCTAAAGTGGGTGTTTTTGCCTCCACGCTGCTGCTACTATTTGATGTGGAATCACCGCTGCCTCAGAGCTACGAGATGCAACCTGTCTCCGACTCTTGTCTGTTGTTTTATTTATTTATTTATTTATTTTATTTATTTATTTTTTTACGAATGTTTTATATTTCTGAACTGAAGCAATGTGACACAAGCGTGAAGTGCGAATTAAACCTGGAGCTGTTTGAATGAGCGTGTGTTGTCACGTCAGGCGCAGCTGCTTTTGGCCACGGCCACAAGTTTAAAAGACCGTGGGAAATAAAAAAAAAAAAAAGTACTTTCAGTTTTGGTACAAACTGTTAAGTTGCGTATACATTTTTTACATTTGTTTTACCCAAATATATGTTTAACTTTTTCTGCTTGAAATGTTTGCCCTGATGGAATATTTTATTCTCATAATAATGTAGTGGTCCCTAAACATGGCAATTGTCCAACATCCAAACCAATTTTACTCCCCCACAGCCCTATAGAAACACTTTCTATAAATCTTCAGATTGGTGCACGCGCGCAACGTGCACGTGTGTCTATAGCAGTGAAGCATCAGCAGTGGAAGCTCATACAGACAGTGTTAAATAGAGTCGAAAAAGTCGTTTTATTACCATCTTTCATTTATCTCCAAAAGTAATAGTCCGTGAAAAAAGAAAATACGAATACATTTCAGTGCGATTGGATAAATCATCTAAGATGGTGGCTGTTTTTATTTTAGAAAGAAAGGAGGGATACGCGCACGCACACTGGCAGGCGCACGCACATATAGATCCCATGCTGGCGTGTGTACATTTCGTATTAAAATTGCCGTTTGGTCCTGGCCTCGTGCGTGTGCGTCCAGACTGACAGATCGTGCACGGCGTAAGCGTGATCAGTGGCGGCTGCTGATGTGATCTCTGCCTAATGGGGCGGTCAAGCGCGCGGCACCAGGAACAATGAAGGGGCCAACACTGACTCATTCCACACACAAGGAATAAATCCGCATCAAAACCAAAAACAAGATTTGAAAATTAGATTCCCTTTCAACAATTAACTAACGCCACATTTTAGGCTTTACATTGAGGAACAAGCGGCGTGATTAATCGATTTCATTTGCACGTCACTGCAGGGCAAAGTGTGGGCTGTTCATTTGGGATAAACACGAGGGGGGTGAATTTACGTATTATTACTGTCACCAAACTTGGAACGTAGTGCAACCTTTAGCATTGGACTTGCCCCCTACTACTAACATGAAATAGACACTTGTACGCACGACATGCAAAAACAAAAACAATGTAATGCAACTTCCGTTTAGCTCTCAAAAATGAACCTCCAACGCAATGCATTCTGACATTTTTTAATCCTTTAATATAGTACGAAATGTATCCAAACATTTTATGTAAACTAAATTTAACATACGAGCGCATTTCTCCATAAATACCGATCATTTTCTAACACGGTCCTTTACATGCGGATAAATATGGAAAATTGAGCTACTTACATGGAATAATACTTCCTTTCAGACAATTGACAGAGAGTTTTGTGTTTATATTTATCACGTACATAAACAGATTGACACGGAAGTTTTCAGGCTTTCACTACACGACTTTTTATCGACATGACATAAATAACAACAAATACTGTGCTACTCAAACTGGACCTTGGACGAAAATGTTGCACTGAATAGGCTACAAAAGCACATTAATACTAATAAGAGTCGGTTAGGTCGACGTGTAGACTGTAGTAATACTGAATAATTCACATTTGGTACACAACTAGAACATTCTTTTGAAATCATCGCAATATTCTTATCTTCATTTCCATATATCTAGGGACCACATTTTCACAAATTCCCTTAAACTGTGATATTTACAAAATAAAATATTACATTTTAACTTGGTGAAATCCGTATGTACAAAAATTGAGGCCTGGAGGCGCACAGAGCATGCGTTAGACAAGTCTTTTGCGTAAAAATAAAGGAATATGGAGGAAAAGGGGGGCTCCTTTGTCCATGCATTTCTCTGACTTAAAGATCGCGTGGGCCTCCATGTGTTTTTCAGTCCATGTCACTGGCTTTTAAAAAAACAGTCTTTTGTTTCGAAGTGTCTCTTTCTAAAATATTTACACGTACCATTCATTGAAATTGGACGAGACTGTGCACTGCTGCGATATGCTGCTGCTCTGGTTCTCTGTGGACGGGGAGACGATTGTGGGCGGTGTGGACGACTCGTAGCCTGAGCTGGCCGCGGGAGAGGGCTGGGACCCCCCGTTACTCGACTCGTGGACCTGCGTAAAAGGCAGAGGCACATGTTAAACCCTAGAAATATTTGTAATTGAGGACGTCTGCATAAAAGACAAAGGTTTTAGGTCATCTGGATCTTAATCTTATTTGTCGGTTCAAAGCAAAAACAGAAAGTGGGTGTCAAAGCAAATTAACTTGTCTGATTTGAAAGGAATACATTTACGAAATCTACTAACAACACATTAATTTATGCACACACAAATGATATAAAAAAAGACCAACGTTAAAAAAACAATGCATTTACCTTCATGTGTTTCCGCAGGGAGCTGGGGTGTGTGTAGGATTTGTCGCACATTTTGCACAAATATGGTTTGTCCGACGTGTGCACGTGCATGTGTTTCTTGCGATCACTGCTATTTGCAAATCGTCTGTCGCAGCCGTCAAACTCACACTTAAAAGGCTTCTCACCTACAACATAAAAAATATTTAGGAAAGGCAATTTATGCGTGTAGCAGATTTAAAATATTATTCTTATTACACTATTATTACTGCTACTGTTCAATCAACACAAAAGTTTACTTTCGTGAAATTATGACAAATAAACTATAATAATTAGAAACATCTAAAATCTAGAATAATCATTTTCCGTGTAAATATACCCAGTAATACTTACACGCAAATTATAAATATAGTTTATTTAAAAATAAAAAATGTAAAATATTTTTTTACTCCAAACAATGCTTTTTAAATATTGATAACAATTGTTGTTATTTTTTTTTATGTAGAAAATGCCACTGCCTTACCGGTGTGTGTCCTCTTGTGGATTTTCAGGTTTTCCGAGCGCGCGAACACTTTGCCACAGCCGGGGAACGGGCACGGGAACGGCTTCTCCCCTGTGTGCACTCGGATGTGATTGACCAGTTTGTATTTGGCTTTGAAAGGTTTTCCCTCTCGGGCGCAGTCCTCCCAGAAGCAGACGTGGTTCGTTTGCTCCGGTCCCCCCACGTGCTCCACCGTTAAATGGGTGACGAGCTCGTGCATGGTGCTGAAAGTTTTGTTGCAAGACTTCTTGGGGTTACTTAGCTGCTCGGGTTCTATCCACTTACAGATGAGCTCCTGTTTGATGGGCTGCCGCATGTATCTGAAGAAGGCCCCCGCTCCGTGGTGCGCCGCGGCCATATTCATGTTCATGGGGCCATAGCCGTGCAGCTGCGTGGATGCATAGTGGTCGGACCGCGGGCTGGTGACATGCCCGTACTGCTCAGCCCGTCCGTACACATCCCCCGAGAAGCCCAAGCGCATCTGGCTATTGACCACGTTGGACGAGGACGCTTGCTCGTGTAGCCCGGGGAAGAGCAGGTGCCCCGCCGCTTCAGAGTGTCCATGTGGCCCGGCAAAACTTCCAGAAGCGAATAAACTGTGCTGTGGCCCCGCAGCGTCTCCAAACCCCCGATTTCTGAACAGAAAGTCCCGTGTGGAGTTAAATGTGGAGTATGAACCAACGTGGGTCGCGTGGTGGTGGTGTCCTAACGCGGCGTAACTGGGTGCCTGGGACGAGAATGCTGTCTGTCCTGAGCCCAAGTCGTGTGAGCTGTGGTTGATTTTGAAGGCGCCCATCCCATCCGCGAACGGGTTGATCCCCAACGCCACTTCTCGCTCCGTGACTTCGCCTGTTGAGTGATGCCGCGAGGAGCCGAAAGTAGTGACTCCTATCGCGGGATACTGCGGTCCTGCGTCCAAGAGCATCTTCAGTGTCGACTCGCCCAAAACGACTGAGAGCAGAAATCAACAACTCACACACAGATATTCTTCCTCCCCGCCCCTCTCTCTATCTCTTCAAAATCCACCGCTTTCCGTTCGGACTTGTTTCTCTTCGCGAAATCCCCCCTTTCTTGGTGCCGCGTCTTCAGCACACGCGCGCAAACATGTATACACGCGATATTGTCTTTTGCGGTTGATCTTCCTGTGGCGCAACTTTCACCTCCTCAGTAAGGCGGTGAGCTCTAGACTGATAGTCGCAATCATTCCTGCAGATAAATGAATTGAAAAGACAACACAGTCCAGCCCTGATGAATGGAAGAGGAGGGGGCGGTCACGTGAAGCAGAAGCGAGTCGTTCATTGGATGCAGCCCGTTTCCCCCCAATAACATCCACTCACCAAACAACAATCCACGAAGCAGGGCCCACGCTTCTATTGGCCTCTTTGCATCATCAATCCCAGAGATAGGAAGAGTGCTGACTGTGGATTTGGTTAAAAAGCTGAATTACAATAAAGTTAAAAGACAAGACATTTTACGCACGCTTTACGCACAGCACTAGTAGAATGTGCAATAGGTTACAGCCAATACGCACGAGAATATCTACAAGACGTGCATATAATTGTGTTCTCTAAATAAGCAAATTTAATCTAACACAGCAAATGCTCAACTTTAACAAAGGACAGAAGATGACTGTGTCTTCAGTTGTCAGGTGTAAACGGCACATATGTAACAAGCACAATAAAAGCTGTTTACAATGGAAAAGACACTTAAGATAGAAGTACTGTCATCACTTTGCCATTAACCCCTTTTTTAAACTAGATGTTTCTCTTTCGCATCCTTCAAACATTTTCATTTGTGTTTAATGAATGGGTCAATAAGGGACAATTCAATTAGTGTATAAAGCTATTGTGCACACATCAATTGACTAATACGAATACATTATCTTTCTTGCTGCTCTTGTAGAAAGGTGGAGCCAAGAACACTTGACACTTAGAACTGACACTACTGGACATTGATGCTGTTAGATTATCTGTATTCTTTAAGACTCATAGTATTCTCTGGTCTAAATTTGTGTCCGGTTAAAACTTGAATATGTCCATACCAGTTGTGCATAAGTAACTTTTTTTCGCAGACCAGCGGTGCATAGCCCGTGTGTAAAACGTTGTGGGTTGTCGAAGTTATCAAGTGGGATTTGCGGCGCTCTCTGCAGGAACCTCCGGCTGCTAGAGTTCAAAGCCACATGAACAGACGTGCCATGCGAACCATTAAAATATCTGCTTGAGCCACTTTCTGGTGCGCTTTCTCTGAGCTAACTCTTCAGAGACCAAGAGTGGAAGTTTTGTTCTCAACTTAACAAGTAGACATAGGATTTGGCTTGACTATTTTCAAATTGGGAAGTTTTCAACAAGTGGACAACGGTAAGAATAACGTCACTTAACAATATGTAACTAAGAAACCTCCTCATGTTTTGGTGTTTTATCATGTAGTTAACTTATTCCACACAATAATGGCGTACAGGACAGGGATGGCTTTAGTTTAGCTGACGTTGGGCAATTTCAGAGAATAATTTCAAATATGTTCCAGTAGATTTACAATTTCTGCTCTCACAGTGAAGTGTTTTTACATAATCTGTCGCCCATGTCATACGGTTATTTTGTTGTTGGCATTTCTCTTGTTGTCATCCAACTCCTTTCCTTTGCCTGACTGCAGAAATGCACGCACTACTTAAAATAGACCTCGAAAGTTTTGCATTACGCTTTGAGCCCTGATGCCTGGTTGGTTGTCGAAGAGTGAACCCCATGCGTAAAGGCCATTTAATAAACATCTTTCGCATCAAACGTTTCCAAATATTGACTCAGCCTCGAACGTTCTCGATGTGAAACTGTCAGTGCAGATTGTGACGGGTCTATTAGGAATGTTGGTGTTTCACATTGGTGTTCAGAACAGCGTCACGTGTAAAAAGCATTATTTATAACACAGTTGTGTTGTGGAGCGTGTTGTGAGGTTATGGCGTAGCAATAAATTAGCCGCAGGCATTGCAACCTTCACTAATAATTTATGGTCACTAAATAAATTGTGATAAAAATGGAATGCCTTTTAAATTGTAAACAATTAATTAACTAGGAATACATTTCAAATATGCACCCGTCACGTTGTAAAGTTAGTTTAAACGAGGAATACTTGTTTAATAAAAATACTAAAATGTCAACAAAAAACATCAACACAAAATTACATCATACAAAATTGACAGCAACAAAGATGATGTAAATTACACAGCCTTAGAGTTAAAACTGCCCAGATTTGACTACAATCCCACTGTGCACTCATGGTTTAAAAAGTCTCACTGGAAAAATCTCTGCACACTGTATGTGATTTTAACAGCAGTTTAACATGTCTTTTCCTCGTGTTTAAATCGAATATAGACTGAAAGTAGTTGCCCCGATGTTGAAATTAGTTACTTACAGTACACACCCGATACATTTAGAACTTTGTGCGCCGCAGCACCGCCTCCTGTGACCCTCATGTGCTGCCGTCCCCGCTCCAGAGCTAAGCTGCTTCGGATCACAACAACAGGTCCCGTCCATTTCTCTTCTTCTCGCTGCGATGGCTCCTGTTCGCCATGTTCCAGTCCGTTTTAACTGCGGCACTCATGCTAACGGACTATCGGATGGATATGTAAATATGGATACTTACAAAGAGACATGTTAATGCGGACTTTTTTCTTCACTACTCCTCTCTCTGCAACGTCGTGCCGTGCGTAACCCGTGCGTAAAGTTCTTCGCGCTTTGTACTCGAAATGAAGATATCACTTCATTATTAATGTTTCTAACAACTTTTACAGTGACAATACGTGACAGTTTTGTGGTTGTGTGTGTTGTAATGGCACAGTCAAGGGAAAATCGCTTTTCATCGCGTCTCAACCCTTTGTTCGTGACCACAAAGACAAAGTAGTATATCCGTGGCAACTTTTTAACACTTTTATCGTACAATAATCTTTACATAACAACTCTTTTTCAAGCGTTGCCCGAGGCTGTGCGCATGCGTGTTGGCTGGTTGCTGTCACTAAGCCATTTTTCTTCACGTTGGAAACTGTCACTGGTGACGTCAATCATAGCGCTCTGACCAATTAGAAAGCGGGATGATTGTTTAGCTCCACGGGCTGCAGCGCCTACCATGAATCTCTATTCAGTATCAAAGCGTCCTGCTGCTGCCTCTCAAGCGAATGGGATTCCATGTAGTCTGCAGATAGACGCAACTTCACAAACTTTTTTCCTTTATTTTTTCAGTGCGATTAAAATATATTTGTCATCATCATTATTATTTTGCCTGCTGTCAAGTTATTCTAAAATTAGGGAGTAATGAGCGTGGATGCATTGGGAAGCCCCGTGATGGACCCTACGTTTTCCAAACGGAACACGGCGCTGAGATTAGTTGACTTGGCAGGGGCTCACCACCATCACCATCATCACCACCATACCCCTCAGAGCGTGACAGGCTTCCCGGGGTTCAGCAGCCATCCACACTCAATGGCTCACGCGCACCCTGGGGAGATTACTGCGGAACCCCGCCTGGGGCCGAGTCCATTCGGGCCAGAACACATGGGGCACTCCGCGGCCCTCAAAATCAGCCCAGCCCATCATTATCCCCACCACCATCACCACCACCACAACCATCATATGGCAGGCCACAGCGACGTGGTCTCCAGTCAAACGGGAGCAGCTTTTGGCCCGGTTCAGGCGACGTCGGTGCCTTATTCTATGTCCCATCCAGCCGCAGGTAGGGATTTCCTCATCCGGAGAGATCTGACAGCTCAAGCCATGCCAGTGCTCACTGACCAGTCTGCTGGTTCCGCCTCTCACCACGGAATGTTTGTCTCAACAACAGGTAGCTACCCCGGACACTACGGTCATCATCCTGACGGGAACCATGCACTCTTCTCTGGACTGCACCACGACCAGGCTGCGAGCGGATCCCCGGGGGGGCAGGCGTTGAACGGACAAATAAGACTAGGACTGCCTGGAGAAATGTATGTAAGGTCTGAGCACTTAAGTCAAGTGGCGAGCTCCAGGGCTGATCCGTTCTCCGCGTCGCCGCTGCACGGCTACGGTGGACTCAATCTGAACATGAATCTAAGCGCTCACCACCACCACCACCACCACCACAGCGCGGGGGCCTTCTTCAGATACATGCGGCAGCCCATCAAGCAGGAACTCATCTGTAAGTGGCAAGAGCCGGAACTTTCACCCAAAAAGCGCTGCTCCAAAACCTACAGCACCATGCACGAGTTGGTTACGCATGTGACCGTGGAGCACGTTGGAGGACCCGAGCAGGCGAACCATATCTGTTTTTGGGAAGAGTGTCCGCGGGAAGGCAAACCTTTTAAAGCCAAGTACAAACTTGTGAATCATATCCGCGTGCACACGGGAGAGAAGCCTTTCCCCTGTCCTTTCCCCGGCTGTGGAAAAGTCTTTGCCAGATCCGAAAATCTCAAAATCCACAAGAGGACGCACACAGGTAAGTCTTACTTGTACTTTGCTTTTGACTGTGCGTGTTATGCGAACTCTGTGATCAGTAATACATCATTATGCATGGTTTAGGTTTATACCTAACAATAAATGCTACAACTTCTATTGGATATATATACAAAAGCGTGCCATAGTCATGACTGCTCAGCGAGGCGATTGACGCCTGATCCTCTTTACACCGCAGCACAAAGACTGTAAGGCTTAAGTGTGTGAGTGACAGCTCAGATGGAGAGGTACATCTTCATATTTACATTCAGTCAGTCTCTTCATGACACTGTTATTTAGACCAGGGGCTAAGAGTTTTCCACTTGTTGCCACATGCAATTAGGCTATTTTACACTGTGATCGATTGAAAATGTTATTATGCAAAATATGCCAGATCAAATTACAAAAAATAATGCCAATAAACTTGTGTAAATTATCAACTTTATTATAACATTTAAGATATGCGTAACTAAATGTTTGTCAGTATGCAACAAGTTGACACACATATGCCCTGATCTGACCTACCAACAGGTTGTAAAAGCTAAATAAGTAAATATTATGAGTGAAGTGCAGTGATTTAATCCTTACTGTAGAGTATACATGGCAGTATGGCTCCTCAAGTGTATTCCAGTGACGTGTGGAAGAGGAAGGGCCCAAAATGTCGAGTCACACTCGTAAATGAACTCATTTTCCATGCAGTGGTTGAACGAACGGCACTCCCCCTCATTCTACTCGTTCTGAGCCCTATGTATTATTCATATCATTTGCTCACATTACCTAAGTACAAATGTGTTAAATTATTTCTGTGTGTTGACTCCCAAGGGGCTTGCTCTTTGGTATCATGTTTAAAACCTAGCCCAAAGTGTGCTCATGACTGGGGCTGCCCCTGGGGTCTGTTCTCGACGCTTTCTTGTACTACACTAATATCCTTGATTGGCTCTCTCAACCCAACAGCTGAAGGTCAAATTGATATTCAACCCGCAAGTGTAATTAGACAGAGGCAATTACATATTCTCAAAAGCTTTAATCGGGAGGAGAAAAATCAGCAGTGGATGATTTCCGTGTAATTTATTCAGAATGTCTCATTTTTTGTGCCTCGTCATAATCAGACAGAAATACTCGTTATTAAGTCGCGTTTTAGATTGAAATGGCAGACAGCACACGAGCAGTGGGCTGCGCTCTCTGTCCACTTGTCATTGTTTTCAGTTGGTTTTAGGCCTGCTCAGTCTGGGCTCTGTAGCCTGTCTGTTTTGACGTATGCCTTGAAGCGTGCAGACGCCAGGTATAGAGCGGTGGCAGTAGGCGTGCTGCCCCCTGGTTACTGCGTAATACGCACGCTTTCTTTGACAGATTCTCTGATGAGAACCATTTTAAATTTCACTACAAAATAAAAATAACACATTATATTGTATTGTTATATGGGGATTTGTGGGAGATTTTGTAGCCTACGTTATTGACCTAACAAGTAAAATAACTATAGACCTGTACTTTAAAACTGTGTTTTTTTTGTTTGTTTTTTTAACGAATGTAGCTAAAGACATCTTAGTGTTGTGTGTGTATAAACATACACATACACATACAGTCTATAGTCTAATTAAGGCATTTTGATGGCCTGAATTGAGAAAGGTTGTAAGTGTTGTACATGTTTAATGTAGGACTTCTCTTCTACTTTGTTCCAGGGGAGAAACCGTTCAAATGTGAGTTTGACGGCTGTGATCGGCGGTTCGCCAACAGCAGTGACCGGAAGAAGCATTCGCACGTGCACACCAGCGACAAGCCCTATAACTGCAAAGTACGAGGCTGTGACAAGTCCTACACACATCCAAGCTCTTTACGAAAGCACATGAAGGTCCACTGCAAGTCCCCTCCGCCCAGTTCGGGCTATGAATCCTCCACGCCGTCCTTAGTGTCTCCATCTTCAGACGTGGGGCGCGAAACAGGGGGCGGCTCCAACGTCATGTCCGAGCCCATGGGAGCCAATCAGGCCGCAAACCTGAGCGAGTGGTACGTGTGTCACAGCTCAGGTGCGAGCGGCGCGCATACACCACCCAGTGGGCCCTCCACGCCCGACCCCACAGAGGAACCCTCATACAGACACGTGGAAAGTAGGGACCACTACTGACCACAACCATGGCACTGAACGCACTGTGGACACGTAATGAACGAGCCAGAACGGGTTGAGACCACGCCAACAGACACAATAATGGAAAGAAAGCTGGAGTGTTCCAAAGTTTGGCTCAATGTGGCCAGCGTGATCTACAGTAGCTAACCTGAAGCTCCGTGGCTATAAGCATGCTGGCGTCACCCAGTTTTGTAAATAGATTTATTTATTTTTCAGCCCGAATAGCCTAAACATAAGGTGTTTTGTATTATGGAACCAAAGTGCATGTTTGGATTTGGACACATTGTACATTTGTACATTTTGTAACTTTTTATGTGTTGATGTGTACGTTTTTGAAACATTTGGCCTCCTGGCAGTAATTTGTATATCAGCCAACAGTTATAATAGCCTAATTTTCACTTGCAGTTTGCCCTATGAGCGGATCTGCATTTACGTTTAATATAACTGTGAAATAATCAATGTTGAAAAGGTGGGCATTTTGTCAGTACATCAATGTCAGTATTTTTGAATTATTTTTTAAAAAAATATCTAAAATGAAGCCGCATTAAAAATGCGCACCAAATGCCTTGTACCTGTATTTTGAATAAACCTTGTTTAAGTGAGCAGTTTGGTGAATTTTAGCTCGTCAGCACACGGAACAATAGTCCATATGAGTTTAATACAAATGTACAAACATATTATGTGACATGTTTTAGTCACTAGAGAGTCTCACGGTGACCTCTGACATCCATAATATCCTATGAGACGCACAAAGTTGCTGGGTAGATCGGAGATGGCTTTGTTTTGTTGAGGCTTATTTTCTCAGCTGAGCTGTGAGTGCACGTGGGCCGTTTGGTCAAAGCCACAATATTCTGATCCAGACTTCAAAGAACACTTTGTACAAAGACGCATTTTTTTCACGACGATGAATCCTCACGGTGAATTAAGATTTCTATAGCAATAGCCAAGTCAAACTCAAATGATATGGGGGGCCGTGCACTGAAAGGGGCGCTCTAAAGAATGTAATATTTGCTTCCCATGGGGTCGGAAACGGTAATCTGTGTTCTTTATTCCACAGACTGGGTTCGTATAAAAAGAAAAATATATTCTTTAGCTTCGACACTACTTTACAACAATCAAAGAAAAGCTTCTGAAACGCAGTTGTCTCGCTCTGCAATAGACCTGCTTCAGAAGAAAGCAGAGCCGCACTGTGGACGTTTCTATAAACCATAGTCACTGCGCTCAAAAGAAGTGACAATTTATATAAAAGACAAGTACGATCAGGCATTTTCTCGAACTTAAGCAAACGCTTGTTTAAGCAGGCTCTATGATCTCCACGTGCACAGGGGAAGAAATACATATTTCTAAAACCAGGAGCCTATCAAAAAGAAGAATGGCCTAACTCACTCACTACAAGTTTGGTGAAACGATTTATTACAAAGGACAAAATTAACACCCAAGTCATGACAAAACACAAAGTGTTGATGCACTTTGTGCGCGCGCCCCACAGTGAAAGAAAAACATAATTTGGAAGTGACGCGCCACACTGTGGAGTGGAAGTTCATATGAGAGGGATTCTTACAGTCGTATGAACAACGAAAAATGACACGGAAAGCCCTTTGTTAGAAAATTGTTCAACTCGTTCCTAGATCTTTTAGTCCCACTCTGAAAAAAAAAAGGAACAAGAGCGTTGGATGCAGTATTTACAGGAGGGGCGCAAGTCAGTGTGCACATAAGGCTCGAATGCTAGAGTGAGATTTTTTATTTTGTCTACAGCAGTTTTTTTTTTTTTAAGAAAAGAAAAAAGACATATGGCCTTTTTTCTAGCCAGACAAACAAACAAACAAACAAAAAACAAAACACAGGCCTAAATAAGAGGCCTAACAGAGATTGTGTAGGCAGCACGCACAGTCTCTGCTCTAAAAAATCCAAGACCAAGTCTAACCAAAGCGTTTGTGTTGAGCTTGTTCCGTTAGGACTGCAGAAGTGTTCAGTTAGGACTGAAGTGCCTTAGTGTGACCTTTGAGCTGATAATCAGAGGTCAACGATCTACAACAGGTGTAGGCCTATGTGTGTGTGCGCACACAACAAGTTTAAAAACGTGACATAATTTGGACACTTAAATTTTACTCAACAGGAATGCACATAATGATCAAAATGGGAATAGGGATTTCAATTAAAACGTTTTATTCTGCGCAAAATCCTTGGGACAAAACAACCACATTCTGGAGCTCATTTGGGTGAGAAAATATAATTTCTTTGTAAAATAATGGAGGCGGTAATCCTACTTCCGGAAACTGTCGTAGCACTATTGAACAAAGCCCTTTTAATAGGGGGATTAGCAGCACTAGGAGTAAAAGGCTCGCTCAGTGCTCTGACCCCTCCCTCCTCTTCCTCCAGTCCTCACGCCCTCCTCACGCTCCTTTACTTTCACCAGGTCAGAGTGATCAGATGTGAAGGGGCTGATACAGCACTGCTCAAACAGACGGGAAAGAAAAGTGCATTGATGAATAGATACTTTGTATATGTTATTCAGTATTTTTACTAATAACATTTACATGTACTTGTTTATTTTAGTCACACACACCCATACACACACACATTTGGGGTTGCCACATTTGTTTAGCATAGAAGCGGCTTCTGAATTACATTGTTTATTATAATTTAGATTATCCACAAAATACAAAAAAACCAAAACAAACAAACAAACAAAAAAAAAAAACATTTTTTTAAAATCTAATATTGGGATTAGTATTGGTATTTTGTAATAGTTTGTACGTTTGGTATATGATATATACATATGATAAAATCTATTACTTTTTTGACGAGGCAAGGTCATTACAAAACAAGCACTCTCATACTGAAGACATTAACTTCGTCTCCTTAGACCTTGAAAGGCACCAAAATCTACAAGTAGCCAACACCACCATAAAGCCGATCCTTCGTTCTCATTTTTTAATACCGGTATCACCCAAGGTTACTTTCCAGGGGATTTACAGGATCACGTGCTGACGCTGTAATGTATAGTCAGCCACGAGCTTCCGTCATAAAGATTTATGGTAGCCTTTAAAGCTAAATTAACTGTATTCGACGTGTATAAAAAGGTGAGCCAGCAGAGTTAAGGCTGGTTTAAGGCTACACCCTGCGGTCGCTTTTGTATATAGCAGGCAAAACTCGCATAAGTCAGCGTCCAGAGGGAAAAAAGTGCCAGTAGGACATTACGCACACCCCCTCCGACGCACGAGGATTACCGTCATGCGCACATCTCAGGAAACCAACTTCTTTGGCTTTCATAGAGCGAGTCAGCCCCCCGGTAACGCCGGAGCAGGAGCAGCCTCGACATTCTATGGCAGAGCCTGTCACATAGTTCACACCTGCAGCTGAATGGAGCTGCGTGTGGATGCGCACTACGCCTGTTGGCCCGGCGCTCAAAGCAGCTGCGAAGGCGCACGGCCTTTTCTCCTTTCTCCTTCTACACTCTTCACGTGCGCTCCGAAAATGGCGCTCTACTTAGTGCTCTGATGACTTCATTTCAAGTCCTAGACGCTTGAGGACTTGTTGCTGCAAACATGTAGTCAAATATAATTGTGATGTATTCATGTACCACGTGCGTGTAAACAGGAAATATGCGTTTGGAATTTGCAGTTTAATTATGTAGCGTCATTTGAAGAAACAATTGTCTTAAAAGATAAATACATTTTATCTGCGCTTCAATTGGAAGCCCATAATAATGAGTCCGTACATTTATTAAAGTTTAAAAATCAGGACGGCGCACTGCACTAAACACACAAAACAGACCAGTGGGCTTTGTGTTTATAGCGTCTATCTCAAATGCCCATACCATCTGTATCAACGATGTAATTTAGTTTAATATTTATAATTAGCATTATTTAAAAATAATATTAAAACCTTAACAATAACAAAATCATACCATATCACTGCCTGTCAGCATTTTAAATCATTTTAAATAAATTAAGTTTCAATTACATTACATTTGGATTTTTAGCTGACACAAGGACATATTGAGAGTAAAATTGGTCTACAAGGTTTGCACCCCAAACATGTCTAATATGGGTTAATTTTGGTGCTATTATTATTTTGTACTATTTTGGACATGCAGTTTTTGCAATTTTTGCATTTTTAAAAACATATTTTCGGTAGTCTACCTTTGTAGAAGTTTGACCGCACATGAAATATTTCAAAGTTGAGTTACTGATGCAGTTGAAACAAAGAAGAGAACTACTCTCTTCATCTAGTTCACAAACAAGGAAATGAACCGTTTGGGACAAAAAAACCTCCCACTGATTTAGCCACAGCCATAACGACACAAGTGCGCCTCTCCTCTCTATGAAAACCACTGTATATCATCATATATCAAAGTAACACATAGTATTAGTGAATGCAAATGCTTCCAACATTATGAATCATTGGTTTATCTGCACTATTTCACACGTCAGATGAGAAAATGTTGGGATGAGACAGGCGAATGCACAGTTTGAAAAGCGACATAATGCATGTGATCAGTGTAGCAGTTATCGGAGACTTTGGGTCATTTCTCCATCTCCCGCAGGAAGCACATTACGCGTCTCATATTTACATACTCTTTAATATTTGTCAAACATTCATAAATTACAAACTAATGAAATGTTTGGCGGTCCTTGGAGATCAAGCTAATGAAGACAGAGACGTTTCTGCCTTTGACACATTTTTGTTAGGTTTAATGCTATTCTTTGTATCACGCTCTATTAAGTATTATTATACTGATGTCAGCCCACCGCTGACACGTTACGACATCGGGATCACCTGCTGGAGGTGGCCACTCTGTGGGATATAAATGGCCCCATCTATAACGCCACTAGCCCGGATACAGGGCTGCTAAATGCTTGGGACATTAACACTATAGAGATGCTTTATTTCAGGCCTAAACGTTGTGCACAGTTATTTTATACGTTTTCACATTAGCATTAGAAGACGTTAATTTGTTGTTAATATTAAATGAATATGTCATACATAATAAAAGATACATTTGGAGATACTGCACGAATACGCATGCGTTACTGCACCAAACGCGTTTGTACTTGGCCTATGCGAAGGGCCGAACCTTAAGAGAAAGGGAGGAGGAGGCTGGAGGTGAGGAGCGCTATATTAATTATGGAGGAGTGTTGCCAGTATGGAGTTAATTTCCGCTCTGGCCACGCTTTTATTTAGTCATCCGTTTGTATTATTCAGCTCTCATTTCTCCACCTTTGACCACTGTTACGTACACTC